CCCCCATCACGTGTCTGGCCCATGTCTCACCCTCAGAAATAGGTCCGAAGCTGCTGAAGTGGTCTTCCAGAGCCTGCTCATCAGTGTTGAAGTTGAGCCCTCCCACGAAGAGCTTCCCTTCTTCAGAGGACATGGCGGTAAATTCAAGTCCTGTGGCGAGAATATGGAAAAGAATAGAAAAAGCAGTGTAGTTGGGAGAAAGAGATTGGAGAAATGAGAAAAGATGAAGAGAAGAGAGCAGAGAACACAGAAGAGACAAAAGGAACAAAATAAGGGGTAACTATGGAGAAACACAGAAAGGCCAAACCGGCGGGAATCTACGGGGCGAACTCAGCGAGGCAGCCATTTGGGGGCCGCCTTCGCGCATGCCCACAACATCCCCCGCCACCGCGCCCGTCATTTTGTGCGGCCGCGCATGCCCAGAACACCCTTGCGCTCCCTCCGCACCCGCAAAACAAGATGGCGGCGGTAACGTAAGAAAACCCCCCCACCCCCACCCAGGCCTCCGCTGTCGCGCGGTCACTGCCACCAGCCACGCCGCCAGCCCTCCCGGCATTCCTCGCAATTAAATATAGCGCGCCAACCTCGCACCAAACAAACTGTCACCTCCGAGCACGGGACCCACTCGCCCCGGAGAAGCCCAAGCCTACGTGTCAAAAACCGGTACTCTCCCCACTCGCGCACCTCGCTCTTGCCCGGCGTGGCACACGTCAGTGGGGCGAGAAGCGGTCGCTCCGCAAAACATGCTGCTTACCTGGAAATTAAGTAAAAGGCCGACGAGACAGCTACCGCCAAGAAGCCGAGAGACTGGGAAGGGCGCCGCGCGGGAAGACTCCTGATAAAGCGTACGTAGCGGTACGTCACGGGTCTTCCGTCACGCGTGCCGGCGTGCGCGCTCATTGGCTGACGCCAGTGAGGGGGCGGGGTGGGAGGAAGGGACGGCAATGCAAAGGGATCGATGCGCTCAGTACGCTTCCGGAAATGGAGGCGAGGCTCGTGTAGTTGGTTCCGCCTGGCATCAGCATCTCTCCACTGGCCCCAGCCGTCTTCATCCCTTACACGCACGAGCCTTTTTCCTGTCACACCCATTTCCGTCCCGGACATCACCCTCACCATCTTTGACGTCGTCTCCCCCATTGGTTTTGACGTCTTCCTCTAGGTTCCTGAGGACATAATTACCGTCCTCTGATAACTTCTTTCACCTTCTAGTCCTCTAACCTCATACCTCTCGAGGCCTCGATGTTTTATCTCCCCACCGTCCCTGACGTCATCGCCCTTCACAGTCCTTAACATCAGACCCTTTGTTTCTTAGTCCCTGACCCTGACCCCTACGTTTCCTTCTCTGTGCCCAACATCTAGCCACTTGTTATGGGACCCTTTTCCCTGGCATCGTTCCTTCTCATTTATAGCTTCAGCCCTCATCCTTATCTGACAGCCTCCTGAAGCCAGTTTCTCGAATTCCCTACCATTGGACCACCTGAGGTGCCTTCTACAGAAGAGGATGCTTCAATCTTCAGAAGGAGTAAATCCCAATCCAACAGAACGATTATTTGCTGTCACTCAGAGTTGCTGAACCCTTGATCCACAGAAAGGACTTTCACAAAACATAATGGACTTATCCAAAGCAAAGAGTGTCTGAGCCCACTCCCCACAGTTTGTTCTTGTTCAGCCTTCTGAGTGTCTGAGCTACTTTTACAATGAATGGATTTGACAGACTTTTCGTTTCTGAACTCCCCATCAAGGAAGAATGGGTTAGTTTTCCCTCAGAGACTCTAAATATGTCATCCATAGAATGGACTTGTCCAGCCTGCTAAGGGTGAGCACCCCAAACACAGACTAGATTTAACTTTTGGAGTACGGTATGGTATGCATCCACAAAATGGACTTGTCTGGCTTTTGCCATATCCAGACTGCTATGCCCAGGATGGACGTGAAGAGATTTCACATTGTCCACACATGTGCTAGTCTTAGCCCTCTGATAATCTGAGCCCCCATGCAAAAATTAGAGGTACTTATTTACCTCTCAAAGTGTCTGAGCTCTGATCATATTTCACAGTTCGTGACACATCGTCATGGTTGTTCTATGCAAAGCCTCTCATTTTATTTATTCTTTTATTCCTGCACCCAACTATCATTCTCTTCCTCCCACCGTTAACTATTTTATTGGGTTTAATGTTATCTCTTGGTGTGATTTCATATAAAATGTGCATTTTTGTGTATGCTTTTTTAAAAATGTATTTATTTAGGCTGCGCTGGGTCTTAGTTGTGGCATACAGGATCTTAGTTGCAGCATGCAGACTTCTTGGTTGGGGCATGCGAACTCTTTAGTTGCAGCATGCATGCAGGATCTAGTTCCCTGACCAGGGATCGAACCCAGGCCCCCTGCATTGGGAGCACAGAGTCTTACCCATTGGACCACCACGGAAGTCCCTTGGTATGCTTTTAATTTAAATGGTAGTGTCGTTTGTTTTTGGTTTTTTTTACTCTTTTTTTCAACCAGCACTATATTTTTATTCCATCTGTGGGAATTCCCTGGTGGTCCAGTGGTTAATACTCTGTGCTTTCATTCCTGGGGCCCAGGTTCGATCCCTGGTCGGGGAACTAAGATCCCACAAGCTGTGCAGTGTGGCCAAAACAAAAAACAAACAAAAGAACAAACAAAAAAAAAATTAATGGGAGTTTTGTTGGGATTGCATTGAATTAATAGATTTGGGGCAAAATAATATCTTAATAATATTACCTGTGGAGGTTTTAAAATATGTTCACAAACTCTTTGATAATGCCCCCTTCAAGAGTTGGAGCCTAGTTCCCTTTCCCTTGAGGGTAGGCTGGACTTTTGACTCACTTGTAATGCACAGAATGAGCACATCACTTCCAAAACTAGGTCATAAAAGGCACTTCGGGGCTTCCCTGGTGGCGCAGTGGTTGAGAGTCCGCCTGCCAATGCAGGGGACACGGGTTCGTGCCCCAGTCCAGGAGGATCCCACATGCCCGGAGTGGCTGGGCCTGTGAGCCATGGCCGCTGAGCCTGCGCATCCGGAGCCTGTGCTCCACAATGGGAGAGGCTGCAATAGTGAGAGGCCTGCGTACCGTAAAAAAAAAAAGAAAAGGCACTTCAGTTTCCTGCTTTCACACAGACTGCTTTCTCTATGGGACGGTACCTGGTACTTCATGCAGCAGCCCTAGGGAGGAACTGAAGCCTCCTGCTAACAGCTATGTGAGTGGGCCTTCTTGGAAGTGGAGTCAAGCCTTCAGATGACTGCAGCCCCCTTCCGCATCCTGACTGCAACCTCATGAGAGACTCAGGTTCAGAACCACCCAGCTAAGCCACTCCCAGAATTCTGACCCTCTGAAACTGAGATAATGATTATTGTTTTAAGTCTGGGAGTAATTTGTTGCCAATACATAGCTAATACATCACGAAATCTTCCCAGCAAAGAGCATGAGATGTCTCTCCTTTTATTCAGATCACCTACAGTATTTGTTATTAGAGTTAAAAAAAATTTTTTAATAGATTTTATTTTTTGGCTGCGTTGGGTCTTCGTTGCTGCGTGCGGGCTTTCTCTAGTTGCGGCGAGTGGGGGCTACTCTTCGTTGCGGTGCGAGGGCTTCTCACAGCGGTGGCTTCTCTTGTTGCGGAGCACAGGCCCTAGGCGCGCAGGCTTCCGTAGTTGTGGCACGCGGGCTTCAGTAGTTGTGGCTCACGGGCTCTAGAGCGCAGGCTCAGTAGTTGTGGTGCACGGGCTTAGTTGCTCCGCGGCCTGTGGGATCTTCCCGGAGCAGGGCTCGAACCTGTGTCCCGTGTTGGCAGGTGGATTCTTAACCACTGCGCCACCAGGGAAGCCCCCAATTTTTTTCTTATAGAAGTCTTTTGTATTGGTTAAATTCTTTCCTAGATACTTTATTTTCTTATTGTAGAGAAATGGTTTTTATACGTTGATCTGGAAACCTTGCCGAACTGTCTTATTGGTCCTAACAGTTTTTCTGGTCATTGTTAGTTCCTTAAGGTAGTCAGTCATATCATTTACAAATGGGTTTTATCAATTCCTTCCAAAACTTACATCTCATTTCTTTTTCTTTCCTTACAGCACTGGCCAGCTGTATGTTAAGTAGCAATATTGAGAGGGAACATCCTTGCCTTATTCCTGATCTTAGAGGGAGAATGTGTTTAAATTTTCTCTGTTAGGCATTTTGTTTGTTGTTTTCTTTCTTTTAAAAAAGTTTGTTTTTGTTTTTTACTATTGGGCATTTTTGCTCTTTTTGCCACATAACCTTTATCAAGTCAAAGATGTTCTCTTCTACTCTTATTTTGTTTGCTCAGTTATTTTTTTAATATCATAAACAAGTGCTGAATTTTATCAAATTTTTTTTCTGCTTTGTGACTATCATATGACTTCTCCTCCTTATTAATGTGGTAGTTCACTCATTAATTTTCTAATTTGGATTATGTTTGAATTCCTGGGATAAGCCCTACTTATGATTTTTTTTAAACTAACACTGTTGAACTCGGGTAGCTAATATTTTATTAGAATTTTTGCATCTATATTCATAAGTGAAATGGCTCTATAACTTTATTGTCTTGTATGTTCCTTATCTGGTTTTAGAATCAAGACTATACTAGCCTCAAAAAATGAGTTGGGCAGCTTTTGCTTTTTTCCTAGTTTCTGGAACGATTTGTGTATTTGGAAATTAACAGTTCCTTGGAAGTTTGATGAACTACATCTGCAAAACCATCTGGGTCTGGGCCTGAAGCTTTTTGTTACAATGAGATGGAGTGTCTTTTTTTTTTTTTTTTTTTTTTTTTTTTAGCGGTACACGGGCCTCTCACTGTTGTGGAGCACAGGCTCCGGATGCGCAGGCCCAGCGGCCGTGGCTCACGGGCCCAGCCGCTCCACGGCATGTGGGATCTTCCCGGACTGGGGCACGAACCCGTGTCCCCTGCATCGGCAGGCGGACTCTCAACCACTGCGCCACCAGGGAAGCCCGAGATGGAGTGTCTTTAACTATCATTTCAAATTTTCTTAAAACTTGTTATATTTCTCAATTTCTTTTTGCATCAGTCTGAGCACATTTTAATTTTTCCAGAAACTTAAGCCTTTCATCAAGGTTTTCGAATGTATTAGCTTCCAATATTGAGCCTTTTTGTGTCTATAATTTCCCTTTTTCTGTGTTGTATTTTGCATTCTTTTAAAGCAGTCTTGGCAGAGGCCTATCATTAATATTTTAAAAGAACCAGCTTTTCATTTTGCTATTCTTTATCATTACTTTAAAAATTCTCTTTGGCACTTATTTCCTTCCTTAACGATATTTCCTTCATGACTCATGGAGTCATGGGTTTGTTCCTCTGCTGTTTTCCCAACTTCTTGATTTGAATGCTTAGGTCATTTATTTTTCAACCTTTCTTCTCTCCTGATAAATATACTTAAAGCTATGTATTTTCTTTTAAGAACTGATTTTTCTGTGTCCTAGAAATTTTGCATGTAGTGTTTTTACTGTTTAGTTCTAAGTATTTCTAAAGTTCCTTTATTTCTTCCTTTACCCAGGGGTTATTTAGTAATGCTAGTTTCCAAAACTGGGGACCTTTTTTTTTTTTTTTGGCCATGCTGTGTGGGATATCAGTTCCCCAACCAAGGATTGATCCCAGACCATGGTAGTGAAAGCCCAGAATCCTAACTAATAGGCCACCAGGGAACTCCTAGGCCCTTTTTTTTAATTGCTTTTCATTATTGCTAATTTTATTGCATTGTGGCCAGAGAACATGGTTGATATTGATACTTTTGAATTCACTGAGGCTTTCTTTGTGCCCTAACAGGGTCTGTTTTTTGTAATTAAGTGTAAGCATAAAAGGAGTCTTCTCCATTTGTTAAGTGGAGAGTTATATAGGAACGTGTGTCATGAAATTATATATCAAGCTTAAAAATGTATTGTTCAGGTCTCCTTAGGAGTGTATGTGTTTATGGTAGGCATATATTCTTTGTTAATGAGTATATGTCCTTCTTTGTTTTTCGCGATCTGAAATTTCATTTTGTTAGTTATTAGGATGTCTCTCCCAGCTTTCTTTGGGCTTTTATTAGTCTGCTATATATTTTCTTCATCCTTTCATTTTCAACATCCCTGTGTGTGTGTGTGTGTGTGTGTGTGTGTGTGTGTGTACAGTTGGACCTTTTTTTAAAAAAACAAAATCCATTGAGGGTGGTGTTCTAAATGTTTTTTGTACTTACTATTATATTAAAACTTGACATCTCATTTCATCTTCTCCATTTACAGTATCTTTGTTTCTTTTTTTTCTACCATCATACTCATACCTTATTTTGTTTTGAGTCCTTTTTCTATTTCTTGTTCCTGTTTTATATTTTCTCCCTTATTGTACTTATTTAAAAGTCTTCATCTGTATGTCCCAGTATTTCTGCTTCAGATATTGTATGTCACCCAGTGTGGTAGCCAGTCTGATATAGCCCCCAATGAGCCCTGCCTCCTGATGTTCACATCCTGCGTGGTTCCCCTCCATGTTTTACTAGGGCCTAGTAAAACACATAGGCCTATGTGACCAAGAAAATACAACAAAAGTGACGGTATGCCATTTCTGAGGTTAAGTTATAATAGACATTGCAGTTCTGTCTTGGTTATGATCTCTTGCCTGCCTGCTGGGACCACGTGTTGTTTGGAGCCCCATGGAGAGGCTCACGTGGTGAAAAACTGAAGCCTCCTACCAACAGCTCTGTGAGTGGGCCACGTTAGTGTTGGGTCGTTCAGCCAAGTCATGCCTTCAGCTGACTGCAGTCCTGGCTGACAACTTGACTGAAACCTCAGAAGAGACCCTGAGCCAAAACCTCATGGCTAAGCTGCTCCCAGACTCCTGACCCTCAGAAACTGAGAAAATAAATATTTGTTGTTTTAAGCTAAGTTTGGGGGTGATTTGTTATACAGCAATAGATAACTAATACATCCAGTTTATTTTTCACTGGAGGTCATTATACTGCCCGGGTGTCTTGTTCTTTTGACAGTGAGCTCATATTCCCCTGATGTGAGCAGCTGTTCTGGCTGGTAACTGTACTGAGGGAAGGCTGAAGGCCAGACTTGACTCTGGTTAATCACCTGGAGTCCAAGGGGTAAAGGGGTGTGAGGGGAGATGAGCCAAAGGGTGGAGAGTCCCAGGCACCACACAAGTAGAGCTCTCACTCCCATCTACGATCACACCACCCAACAATTCTGCTGGTAGGTTTCATCCTTAAACCCTAAGAGGGGGGGTCATCTCCCAGGTGTTACCACTAGCCCTGGTGTCTGGAGGGGGACAGTGGGGGAGTAATCACTCCTCTGGCTGCTCATTTCCTCCCCTCAGCAGGCTTCTTGATACCCTGATAGTAGCCCCCCCACCAGACACCTGTACCAGTGGTTTGGATGATTTCTGCAATGAGGGGGCAGGCAAGGCAACATGGGGGAGAGGCACCAGCCAGAACTTAAATCTCTAACCTGTCCTGTATTTGTTGCCTCCAGCCATCTACCACTCAAAACACAGGTCAGTTAAAGATAACCTTCCATCTCCTCATAGGTCTTCATAGCTGTGCTAGTTTCTGGAACTCATGTTTCCCTCTGTAGTTTCTCCAGAGTAGTTTTTGGGCAAGGGAATCAGTGGCTTGTGCTGTCTGCCATCTTAGCGGGAACCAGAAGTCCCAAGTAACTTCGGAAACTAATAGAGATTTCTGTCCTTCAGGTTATCTGAGCCTCCTGTTCACAGAAAGGACTCCTCTGGCCTTCAGAGGTCCCAAGCTGCCATACACAGAATTGAGTTGTCTGACTTCTCAAATATCTAAGCTCATAAATCACAGAATACACCCAGAGGGTGTCAGCTGGTTACTGACAAAGGGGACATTTCAAGTCCTCAGAGGGCCAGATTCTCCCATATCTTGGATGGCCCCTGGGGCCAGCGTGCCTGAGCCCCTTATCCGCACTTGTTAGACCCACAGTCTTGGAGACCCTAGGCACAGAATGGTCTTGTCCTGCCTCCGGTGACTGAGCCCTCATCTGAGGAGTGGTCAGCCTCCTGTCCAATACTGGGGGGTGATGGGAGCCTTTTAAGAGTTAACTCCAGCTTTATATGACATTGTTTTGGGAGAGACAGATGAGAGGATAGCTGCCCTCATGCCCCTCACCTGTCAGTATTGCCTAGAGCAGCAACTTCTGGCCAGAACCTGGCACAGTGAGGCCACGACCTGAAGGACCCCAAGTTACTTCATCCATCATCTGCCACGTCTTCTGTGGAGGGACAACTCGGCCTGTGAGAGAATCTGCCTTCTGAGAAGGTAAGTGGCGAAAATGAACTTCTTTTGGATCATTATCCTCCACACAGGCAGGTGACTCCTTTTAGGGCCTGAGCTTTATCAGTGCTTGATTTGTTTGTCCACAGTAGTGGGATGGAGAAGGCAAATAAATGGTTTCTATTGTTGAAATGGTTAAGACAGGTATCCATGAGCTGGAAACCCAGTTTAGTGCTGACAGCCTGAGGCATGGCAAGGCCATAGTCCCTTAAGCTGTCCCCAGAGCAAGTGACGAGAATAGGAACCTTAGACCCCTGTCCAGGACCACTAGCATTAGTGCATAAGACTCACAGAGAAGGGGCTGGATCCTAGAAATGGTGACGTGTGGAATGCTAGAGGTAGCTGGCCCAATGTTTCTAAGTAGCCCATACTTCCCAGTCTTTGTAATGAATCTTGCCCTTTCTGAATCAGGAACTCTCTCTCCCATCCCTCATTCAAAGGGCCTGTCCTAAAAACATACATTCACAGACATCATCCAGACCCTTACAGGCAGACAGATGTACGACAAAACAGCCTCAGGCCTCCTCAAGCAGTCCTCGACCTGGGCTCACCTTCTAGAACTGATTTCTCAGCATCCATTCTCCTGCCACTGGGGAAGCAGGAGCCGCCCTTCACCTGAAATGGGAAGTATTTCAGCTCCAGCAGGTAAAGAGGTCCTGGGGACTCCATCTACAACAAAAACCAGGGAGAAGGCAGAGAAATACACAGACCACAGTGACCTTCATGTGTGCAAAGTACAATTGTTAAAAACAAAACAACAAAAACAGAAAAAAGAGGCCGTGGTTGCCATGGGGCAGTACTGAAGCAGAGCCCCATACTCTCAGACCTGGGGAGAGAGGGCACTATGCTCCCACATGTCTAGGGCTGGCAGGCAGGGAGGTGGGGTCTCATGTGTAGGCCCTCTTGGCAAAAACGGATATCTGGTGGGGCTGATAGTGGGCTGGAGGGAGTCTGATCAAGATGGGGCTGTGGCCTCGGCCCCCTCCTCTGAGTCCCACACCTCTGACTGCAGGTAATCAGCAAAGAGAGCCTTGGCCCGGCGTAGGACGCGCCCCAGGTGGTGTTTTCGCACGAGGCGGTCAAAGTGCATGGCCAGCTCGTTGTAATCCAGCCCGTTGCGCATGATATGGTCGCGGTGCTCCAGCAGGATGGCGAGGCACAGGAAAAGCATGAATGGGTTCCCTCGGCCAAACTCCTGGGGCGGGGGCAGGCCCAGTGGGGGTGGGGGTGGCAGGGACTTCCCAGGGTCTTGTGGGGAGCCCACCTCTGGCATCAAGGGGGATCCTGCAGCCATGTCACCAGTGGGAGAGGCGTCCTGGGTGGATGGCGGCGATGAAGACGATGGGGAATCAGGGTGGGAAGAGGAGGAAAGCAGTGGGTCTGAGGAGTTCAGCAAGGGCTCAGAGAGAGACTTGGAGCTGATGAGGGCAGCTGGGTGGGGCAGCTGGACCAGAAGGTCCCTCCTGGGGCCTGTGTTATCCCTGAGTTGCTGGAGGTCATCCAGACTGGCCTGTCTCAGGAGACGCCCTCCACCACCAGGCCCCTGGCTGGTGGTGGCCAAGTGGTCAACAGCATCTTCAAAAGCACCATCTCCTCCACCGGCGGGCCTCAGCATGTGCCTCTGCCGCACGGGCCGTCCCCTGTGGCCCCCAAAGCCAGTGTCTGCCACCAGGCTGGGGGGGCCCACGAGCTCTACCTCATGCTCGGGAGGGTCGGGGGGCAGCGAGCTCCAGGTGACCTCCAGCATGCGGAGAGCGTCATCAAAGGCGAACTCGCGCTTGAGCTCGAGCAGCAGCCAGCGGTAACAGAAGAAGAGGTCGTCAGCACCGGCTTCCTGCAAGTACTGGTAGAAGTCAGGGTCGGCGTGTCGCAGCAGCAGCTTGAGGTGAGCGAACTTGGTGGCCATGGCGCGGCCATCAGGGTGGAAGTTCGCAGCCAGGCGCTTCATGATGCCACAAAAGCAGACAAAGGCATGGCCCTCGTGGTCCATGACGGCAAGGATGGGCGAGGCCAGGTCGCTCATGCCCTGGCAGTAGGACACCTGTGGGTGGGTAACGGCGTAAGTGGTGAGCAGGTCGTGCAGAGCCCGCAGGTGTGGGCCGTCCTCGGGCCCTGCGAAGTAGGGGTGGGCCCGGTCGGTACGCAGCACGTCCTTGAGGACCGTGCTGCGGATGAACTCCAGGTCCTCAGGGCTCGCTCGCTGGGCCCACTCGCTCTTGAGCTGCTCATACTCGCGGCTCTTGCGTTTCATGTAGTCCATCCGCTCACGGCCTGTCAGCCCGTCTGGGTACACGTTCAGAAGGTACCTCCACACCACCTGGCCAGGGATGAAAGGGATGAGGCTGAGGGTCTACAGATGAGCTGCCACACCCTCGTGTGGATCCATCACCACCCAGCCACCCTGGGCCTCTGCCCTCCTTTGGAAAAGCCTGCCCCTCCTGAAGGTAAGCCTGCTGTGCTGGAATACTTCCATGCCATCCGCCGAGAGTGTGGCCCACCGCATGTGTCTCTTGAGCTATTCATGACTGCTGTGATGGATCCAATGAGTGACCAAGAAGGCTCACCTTTCGCAGGGAGGGCTCAACACCACCATGGTAGATCCGCAGGCGCAACTCCTCGGGGCGTGAGAGCTGGCCCTCGTGGTTCAGGTATGTGTGAAACTCTGCATCGCTTAGGGGAGGCTTGAAGGGCTTGACGTCTTCCCCATATGACCAGCTCAGCACCTGCTGGACCTTGGACAAGGTGCGGCCCACCTGTGAAGGAAGGAGGGAGGGAGGCCACCACTCAGCTGGGCAGGCCAGGGGCAGGTACCAACCGGCATGCTCGGAATCGGGGGTGCCAGGGATGCCCTGCCCTCCAATCACAGCTGGGCCCCGCGGCTCCCTGAAAGCACCTGAGAGAGGATGGACTGTGTGAAGGGAAGGGCAGCTGTCGTCAGCGATGACCGCTTCTCAGCCAGCAGCATGTCGGAGCCAATGACATCCTTGGGGCTGATTATGTCCCAGTCTTCCAGCAGTGGGCCTGGGCACACAGAATGACGCCGTATGAGAATGCGGATGAGAACCCCAGACCTCAGGGCCGGGTTCCTCTCCCTCCAAAGCCAGGCCACCCACAGGGCAATGAGCCACTCCACTCTCCCTTCCCATGTCATCCCAATCACGTAAAAAATAAAACCATGAATAATCCTCTTGTGGAAACTGTCTCACAGAATGGCTGAGCAGACTCTAATAGTAGTATTTTAATGATATAAGGTAATATTTATCAAGCACTTACTATGTGCCAGGCACTGTGACAGGGCTTAACGTCAATATAAACAATAAGAACAGTAGACAACACTTCCATACGGCTAAGTGCCAGGAAGCGTTCTGAGCCCTTTGCAAATATTAACTCATTTAATATTCACAACCATCCTCTAAGTTAGGCACTATTATTATCGCCACTCTATGTGGAAACATGCATAGTCAGGACTAGAAGTTGCCCAAGGCCCCACAGCAAGTGGGTGAAAGAACCGAAATTTGAAGGCCAGGCCCAAAGCTCAAGAGCCCAAACTCTTTTAATCTTATATTCCTGCTAGTTTTCCTCTCACAATTGGTATAGACTACATTATCATTCTTATTTTGCAGACCATGACAAACAGCCTGGAACAGTTAGTAAGTGGCCAAGGAAATGGTAGGGCTGGGATGTGAATCTCATTTACCTTACTCCAGGGCCCAGATAAAGTTTAGCAAAAGTATTTGTAGAACAGGTATGCCATGCATGTTAGAAGAAACAATGCTATGCTTGATATTACCCAATTCTGGCCCTTGGAACATCAGCAGAAGTCTGTCCCTTCTCTCTCTTCTTTACTCCCCCTTGCATCCTTTCTGCCCACCTCAAATGTCATGTGGCTGAACCAGCAGTGGCCACCTGAATAAGTTCGAGAGACTTAAGAGATGTCGGCCCTGGCGCCACAGAGCTGCTAAGCTGACAACAGCAAAGACCAGTAGCTTTCAAACTCTATTATACGAAACAAATCAACTGGGATTTGTTCAAGCCATTGTCATTTGCAGGCAAATGCCATCACTAAGCAACATTTCCATGAAGTCCACTGTACTTTCTCCCACAGAGCTGAGGGGGAAGCAAACCCTGGGCCACAAGTGGATGTCACTGCCTCTCCTTAGGTGTCCCATGGGGCACTGTAAACCTAAGGGGTCCAAAAGGGGAGCCCAAGATCCACTCTAGACATAACCTCCTCCTCTGCTCCTCATGTGAGTGAACAGTGTCTCTACCTGTTCAGTTGCTTAAGTCCCACACCTCACAGATGTCCTTGCCGCCTCCCACTCTCTCAATTCCCAGGGCCAAACCATCGCCAAGCTCCATAGCTTCTGCATGCAGAACACACTTCAATTCCACCTCTTCTCTCAGCTCACACCACGCCTCTCACCTGAAACTGCCTCCCAACCAGTCCCTGCCTCCCCTTTGCCCCTCTGCACCCTCTCCCAACAGCTGCCAGAGTGGGCTTTCTAAAACATGAAAACACATAAAATAAAGAAGGTTGCACTACTCAACAGGTAAAATAAAGAAGGTCACACCAATGGTCTGAAATACCAAAGAGAGGAGCCCCTGTCAAGGCACAGAGCTAAAGCTTGATGATTTGAGAGGAAAGCAGAGAGACCTGGAGGACAAGTCCAGGAGACCTGACAATGCAAACCCTAAGAAATGCAGGAGGAGCAAAGGGGTCAGGTGGAGACAGAATTACCCAGATATGAAGGAAACTGTCCCTGAGATGAAGAAGTGGCTCGGCAGGTCTCAGGTAGGATGAATCAACGAACAGCACAGACCACGGGCTCCCCCAACTCTATTCGCCTGCTGGCGAAGTGCCCACATTCTAAGAATGAAGACAAACTCTTGCCAGCTTCCAAAGATGAAGAACAGGCTGCTTACAACTGAAAGAAGGTCCGATTGCCGATGGGCTTCTGTTCCACAACTCTGGAAGCAAGACAGTGGCTTGCAGCACCCACGGAGTACTGACAAGAGAGGCCTGAGATCCAAGGGTCCCACATCCAGCCAACCCAGTACGTATCCACCACGACTGAAGTTTCTGATCATTAGCATACATCTAACGCATGCACCTTACTGGAGGAGAACAAAGAAGTTCTCTAAGAAATGACTACTGAATGGCTACAAGGGCTCAAGGTGGGTGGGGGAAGGCAAAAGGGAGGGTAAATGGGGACAGGCCACAAGTTTTTAATATATACAGTTAAACATAAAATGACAAAGAGACTGTGACTGGGAGTTTGTAACATTGTTACGTTAGGATTCCTGAAACGTAAGCGAGTGACTCTAAAGAAAAGATAATGATAGACTGGAATTCAAAAAGAGAAAAAATTACTGTTGGAGCAAAGCCCAGAAGTTAAGGGTTAGGGAGCAGGAGAAGGACGAGAATGAGAAGTGTTCCAAAGCTTCCATTTCACGGGCTACGGAGGGTGGGGGAGACTGGAGGGGAAAAGTGCTCAAAAGATTTCACTGTCAATTGTGTAAAAAAGCATAAATCCAGCTACGGAGATTTTGTGAGAGACATACTAAAACTAGGTAACAAAGAAAGGTTAAAAATTGAAGAAACATGAAGGTATGCCTGGCAAACACAAGCAGAAAGCAAGAGCAGCCATGTGAATATCAGAAAAAGCACCGCTCAACACCAAAAACATGGGACTTCCCTGGTGGCGCAGGGGCTAAGACTCGGCGCTCCCAATGCAGGGGGCCCCAGTTTGATCCCTGGTCAGGGAACTAGATCCCACATGCAGGCCACAACTAAGAGTTCACATGCTGCAACTGAGGAGCCTGTGAGCCGCAACTAAGACTCGGTGCAACCAAATTAAAAAATAAATAAAGTGTATAATTCAGTGAGTTTAAAAAAAATAAAAGACAAAACACATGACAGGAAAATAGAGATATTCTATATTGACTTTTAAAAGAAAGAAAGAACCTGTTAATAAAATGGACAAAGGATTTCTACAAGCCCAAACTCATCTAGTGGCAAAACCGGATCTGAACTGACGTGTGACTATATGTAGTCTTTTTTTTTAATAAATTACTTTATTTATTTATTTTTGGCTGCGTTGGGTGTTCGTTGCTGTGCGTGGGCTATCTCTAGCTGTGGTGAGCACTCTTTGGTGCGGTGCGTGGGCTTCTCACTGCAGTGGCTTCTCTTGTTGCAGAGCACGGGCTCTAGGTGCGTGGGCTTCAGCAGTTGTGGCGCACGGGCTCAGTAGTTGTGGCATGTGGGCTTCAGTAGTTGTGGCTCATGGGCTTTAGGGTGCAGGCTCAGTAGTTGTGGTGCAAGGGCTTAGTTGCTCCGCGGCATGTGGGATCTTCCCAGACCAGGGCTCAAACCCGTGTCCCCTGCATTGGCAGGCAGATTCTTAACCACTGCGCCATCAGGGAAACCCTATGTCTAGTCTTTATGTAACTCACTAAGTGTGAATATGCACACACTTCTCTGAAGAAACATGCACGTTTCATTATGGTGTGCTGCCCCAGGCCCTTCTTGCAGTATTACACAATATGTACTATACATACTGCACCTCCTTACCATAAAATTGTCAAACCTCCCAAATCCTAAATTATATATGTTGTGCAATGCCAATCAGTGATGTAGTGGGTTTTTTCCTGGAACTGGATAAAATTATTTTAAGGTTCATATGAAAGAATTCACATTTAAGAATAGTTAAGAAAAAGGAGAGCCAAAAAAAAAGAATAGTGGGAGGAAGGCAATGCTTGCCTTATTAAAATGTATCAGAAAACCACTGTGATAAAAATATGGTGTTAGCATAGCATGAGACAAACAGAGCCAACTGGTGGAATTCAATATAGAAAGCCCAGAAATAAATCCAAGGGCATATGGGAACTCAGTACATGACAAAAGTGGCATTTCAAATCAGTGTAGAAAAAGTGGTTATTTAATAAATGATGCTGACATACCTTTTTGTCTGGAATTTTTTTTTTAAAGCTAGGTCTACTAATCACAATGCTGACAGAGATTTATATGTAGAAAAGAAAATAATAAGCATATTAGAAGAAAATGTAAGAGAATATTTGTATAAGCTTGTGGATGGGGAGGATGTTCCAAAGTAAGGAGAAATTCAGAAATCATAAAGAAAAAGACAGATATATGTATAAGACTGCATACATATTTTAGTTTTTGATAGGATCAGAAAAGCACCATAAACAAAGCCATAAAACAAAAAGATAAGCTTGGAAAAAAATATCTGCAATACATATGACAGAAAGAGGATTCATATCACAAATGCACAGATTGGTTGATGGTCTAGGCTTGGTAATCTTCCAACTGTAGAGGTGACAGAAACTGACTTCTTCCCTGAAAGAGGGACTGGGCCATCTAAGTGGTCACAACATGCCTGTTGCTTTCACAGTCATGAACACGATCCCAAGAATTCCATTAATAATATTTGTAACAGCTCCATCGATTGGCACTTACTTACCTTTTTTCTTTTTTTTTTTTTTTGCAGTTCGCGGGCCTCTCACTGTTGTGGCCTCTCCCGTTGTGGAGCACAGGCTCCAGACGCGCAGGCTCAGCAGCCATGGCTCACGGGCCCAGCCGCTCCGCGGCATGTGGGATCTTCCCAGACCGGGGCATGAACCCGTGTCCCCTGCATCGGCAGGCGGACTCTCAACCACTGCGCCACCAGGGAAGCCCTTACTTACCTATTAATGTATAGCATGATACCATTAATGTTAAACACATACCGTCTGTGTATATATACAAATATGAATATACTTACGTATCTCTATATGTAGATTAATTTGTCTGTGTGTATGTGTGTGTGAATAAATAAAGGACCTGTAAGGTTATACATCAAACTGATCAAAGTAGCTCCTGCAGGGCAAAAGGGTAGGCGAACAAGATTAGGCACAGTGGGGGCTTCCCTGGTGGTGCAGTGGTTAAGAATCCGCCTGACAATGCAGGAGACACAGGTTTGAGCCCTGGTCCGGGAAGATCCCACATGCCGCGGAGCAACTAAGCCCATGAACCACAACTACTGAGTCTGCACTCTAGAGCTTGCGAGCCACAACTACTGAGCCCGTGTGCCACAACTACTGAAGCCCGTGAGCCCAGAGCCCGTGCTCCCAACAAGAGAAGCCACCACAATGAGAAGCCCGTGCACTGCAACAAAGAGTAGCCCCTGCTCGCAGCAACCATAGAAAAGCCTGCGTGCAGCAACGAAGACCCGATGCAGCCAAAAATAAAATAAATAAAATAAATAAATTAAAAAAAAAAGATTAGGCACACTGGTTCCAGGAGACTTCAGCGTTATTTATAATAAGGAGAATATATTTACTGGATAATTAAAGATTAGTTTCATTAGGGAATTCCCTGGCGGTCCGGTGGTTAGGACTCTGTGCTTTCACTGTGGAGGGCCTGGGTTCAGTCCCTGGTCGGGGAACTAAGATACCACAAGCCACATGGTGCGGCTAAAAAAAAAAAAAAAGTTTCATTAAAAAATGCAACTCCATGGAATTCTCTGGCGGTCCACTGGTTAGGACTTGGCACTTTCACTGCCGTGGGCCCAGGTTCACTGGGTTCCATTCCTGGTCAGGGAACTAAGTAAGATCCTGCAAGCTGTGTGGCACAGCCCCCCCAAAAAAAGCAGCTCCAATCAAATTCCCATCAGGATTTTAATGAAATGATAAGCTAATTCTATTAAATGAAAAGAACAGTGGGACTTCCCTGGTGGTGCAGTGGTTAAGAATCCACCTGCCAGTGCAGGGGACATGGGTTCAAGCCCTGGTCTGGGAAGATTCCACATGCCACGGAGCAACTAAGCCTGTGCGCTACAACTACTGAGCCTGCGTGCCACAACTACTGAAGCTCACGCACCCTAGAGCCCATGCTCTGCAACAAGAGAAGCCACCACAATGAGAAGCCCATGCACCACAATGAAGAGTAGCCCCCACTTGCCACAACTAGAGAAAGCCCGTGCGTAGCAACCAAGACCCAACGCATACAAAAAAAAAATAAATAATTTTTTAAAAAAAGAACAGTAAGTGCGTGAGAATATTCAAGAAAAAATTTTAAAAGGAGAACATTAAAACATATCATAAAGCTACATGATTAAAACAACATAGAATTGGCTTAGGGTTGAACAAAGAGATCAGTGTAAGGGGATCAGGAATTCAGAAACAAACTCGTGTATTTGCAGGAGTTTGGGAAACAAGACAACGGTAGGAACAGAACTAACTCATCAGTAACTGGAAAGTTGATTCTCTTTAAAAAGATAACTTTTAAATGTCCTTTTGCCAAACTGATGGGTGTGTGTCTCTCTGTGTAATTTGCATTCCTCTCAGTTCTTGTGCAGTTGGGGTTTTCTTCACATGTTTATTCGTGGGGCAGATTTTATTTCTTTACTGAAATAGTGCTATTGTGTCTATTTTATAGGTGAGGAAATGGAGGCTTGGGGACTCAGCTAAGTGACTGACACATAGTAGCACAGAGGGCTGCTCAGTGCAGAGGTTCCTGTGTTTCTGGCTACCTGTCTTTTCCCATTTGTCTCTCTGCCTGTCTCTGTCACTATCTTTCCCTCTGACTCTTGTTTCTCTCTCTCTCCCTCTGCCTATCTTTTTCTCTAGTTTCTTTTTCTTAACAAGCCCCACATTTTGTAGAGTTAAATGGTTAAAAGCAAGGACTCTGAAGACAGTTCAGCCACCACCTGGGTTCAAATCCTGCTCCTCCACTTACTGTCTGTGTCACATGGACAAGTCCTGTCCCCTCTATGAGCCTCAGTTTCCCCATTTATAACATGGGGATAACGATTGTCCCTACCCTGTAGAATTGTTTTGACAATCCAATGAATAAACATTATGTGTGCAGAATGGCCCCAAGTGTTTGACACATGTTAGCTATTTATATGTTATTATGACATCAATAAAATGCCTCAGGACTTCCCTGGTGGCTCGGTAGTTAAGACTCTGTGCCCCCAATGCAGGGGACCCGGGTTCAATTCCTGGTCAGGGAACTAGATCCCACATGCATGCCGCAACTAAGGAGCTGGCAAGCCGCAACTAAGGAGCCCGCGAGCCGCAACTAAGACCTGGCACAACCAAATAAATAAATAAATATTAAAAATAAATAAATAAAGTAAAATAAAATGCCTCAGTCACCCCAAATAGGCACTATGAATTCCCCGAGGCTGGGAACCGTGTCTTCCACTCCACAACTTTTTATTTTAAAAAAATTTCAAATCTATGACAAAGTTAAAAGATGAATACATTGACCATCCATATGTCCTTCATCTAGCTCCCCCAACTGTTCACATTTTGCCACATTTGCTTCATCTTGCTCTCTCCATATATATATACATTTAAAAATTTTTTTTATTTTTTTAACATCTTTATTGGAGTATAATTGCTTTACAATGGTGTGTTAGTTTCTGCTTTATAACAAAGTGAATCAGTTATACATATACATATGTTCCCATATCTCTTCCCTCTTGCATCTCTCTCCCTCCCACCCTCCCTATCCCACCCCTCTAGGTGGTCACAAAGCACCGAGCTGATCTCCCTGTGCCACGTGGCTGCTTCCCACTAGCTATCTATTTTACGTTTGGTAGTGTATATATGTCCATGCCACTCTCTCACTTTGTCACAGCTTATCCTTCCCCCTCCCCATATCCTCAAGTCCATGCTCTAGTAGGTCTGTGTCTTTATTCCCGTCTTACCCCTAGGTTCTTCATGACCTTTTTTTTCCCCCTTAGATTCCATATATATGTGTTAGCATACGGTATTTGTTTTTCTCTTTCTGACTTACTTCACTCTGTATGACAGACTCTAGGTCCATCCACCTCACTACAAATAACTCAATTTCATTTCTTTTTATGGCTGAGTAATATTCCATTGTATATTTTTTTGCTGAATTATTTGCAGATATCATGATGCTTTACCCCTTAATACTTAACTGTGTTTTTCCCGAGAACAAGGATATTTTCCTTCTATAACCATGATACCGTTACCATACCCAGGAACTTTAACACTGACACACTATTATTTTCTAATGTATGCTCCATAATCAAATTTTGGGGACTGTGTCTTAATTTATCTGTGGGCTCTCAGGGACCAGTACAGGTAAGACTAGGGGAACAAATATGAGAAGACTGGAAGTGGCTGAGAGATAAAAGGAACAAACAAATGAATATGAGTGCAGGGTGAGTGAATGAATAAATACAATTACCATGACTATAATCAGCATTGTTATATTTACAATATTATTATAACTGAAACATATAATACTGTAGCTCTATTATTATATTGCATTATACAGTTATATATTACTACATTATATGCTATAATAAATGTGATCATTATTGTTATTAGAGATAATACTTTTTGAGCATTCACTATGCAGCCATGCACCTTTCCAGGTTTTTTACATGAATTTCCCTGTTTAATCATCATGATGGCCCTAAGATACCATTATCTCTACTTTACAGATAAAGAAATTGAGGGCCAGTGGCCAAGCCAGGATTTGGACCCAGGATTCCTTGCTCCCTAGCCCACTGTGAGGGAGTGCATTGTGAGGAGTGGAGTCATCCCACGGGGAAAGGGGGGCATCCCAGAGCAGTGCCCGCGAGGCACCAGGTACTCACTATCCTCAGTGGGCCGAATATCTACACGCAACTGCAGGTAAGGTTTGGAGGCGGTGGCGAAGGCCGTGCTGAGGTCCCAGTCAGACAGGAGTGAGAGATAAGCTTCCTGCCCCAGCCGATCCCGGCCCAGGTAGCTGATACCAAAATTCTTCTTCCTGGACAGAGGAGACATGGCATCTTTCAGTGCCCCAGTGCCCTGGAGGCCTCAGGGACAGTTTCCAAAAGAAGCCGAGGAGGACAGATGGTTTTGAAAACAACTTCCTACTGTGTGCTGGGCACTGTGCCAAGGATTTCAGGCAGCCTGAGGTCAGATCGTTTTTTTCTATTTTGTTTCACAAACAGAAGCAGATACACACCTGCTTGTATCTGGAGAGCACATTGGGAACTGGTAACGTGGTCCCCTCTAGGGAGGGTAACAGAGTAGCTGAGGGACAGAAGTGGGAAGAAAGGAGCCTCGTGCATAAAAAAAGAAGCAATCTGTATGTTTGTTATATTTCACAACAAAAAATGTTTATGCACAAAAAGTCAAATAACAACTAAGAATTTGTTCTTCAGATACACCTGTGCAACTATGCAAAGAAGTATGTTGTGTGATAACTATTGTAACCATGGAAACATCCTAAATACCCATCACTTTTGTATTATTTGAGTTTGTTACCATGTGCATTCGTCCAAAATAACAACGACAACAAAATAACCATCACACCTGCCTCATCTATCAGGTTGGCAAATTTTCCAATGTTTTCTAGTAGCCAGTGTTTGTGAGGGTGTGAGGGAAACAGGAATTTTATGGGCTGCTGGTGAGACTGTAAATTGGTAATACCTACCTGGAGAACATTTTGGAAACATCTGTTGAAGTTTTAAAAAAGCATACACCGTTTAACTCAGCAATATTACTCCTATGACTAGATTTCCCCAAATATTCCAAGATATGTATGTGGCTGTTTGTTCACTGTGGGATTATTTCAATAATAATAATAATAGTAATAATAACAAGAAAACAACCTCCCTCTTTACCAAACAACAACAATAAAAATGCCAAACAACCGCTGCTGTCGAGGTGGGTGGCCCACTGGCTTTCCCCAGCATCCCGTTACTCACCCGTTCAAGTCAAAGGCTCGGATGAGGATGTGCTGTAACACATCGAGTGAGGTGATCTGGGGGTCCACAGCAAAAGAGCGAAACTCAGGTGGCAAGAAGCTCTCACATTTCTGGGGAGAGAAGACAGGGGTAGGCCATCAGGGGTCACATCAACATGCTCACATGGAGTGAGTAGCAGGGACCACATCAAGGCGGGAGTTCTGAGCCATGGGGAGAACTGTTGTTTTTGCTCTGAATGGAGGGTGGGGGAGGCTTGGGAGGGTTCTGAGCAGAGGAGGGATGTGGTCTGACTCAGGATTTAACAGGATCCTTCTGGCTGCTCTATGAACAGTCTGTGGGGGACAAAGGAGAAAGGAGTGTTCCAGTGAGGGGGCTACTGCAATAGTCTAGGCACCCAATCCTTCTTCTACATCCCCTCAATGATGGTTGCCTGGATCACCATGTCCAGTCTGGCCCTCACTAAACCAGTCCTCCGCGCTGCAACCAATCTAGCACATCTATCTACAACACTCCCCTGCTTAAATCTCTTCAAAGGGAACCCCAGGATCCCCAACAGGTGGGCCTATAGGACCCCAGCCAGCCTCTCTCCAGTCAGCTTTTTTGAACTTTACACTCTGGTACTACCAAACTCCTGGAAGTTATACTCTGAATACATTCTGGCTCCAGGCCTTTGCTTATGCAGATCCCCCAGTCTGGTACGTCCTTCCCACTTTCTTCAGCTGGCTCACTCACAGCTCAGGCATCTTCTCTTTTCTGAACTCCCAAACCTCTACCTTTGAGCTTCCTCTATTACACTGAAGTGATCTGTTTACTTCTCACCAGAATCTACCCTCTTCTCATCACCACCAGTGCCACCACCCTAGTCTGAGCCACCATCACTGACTGCCTGCTGGAACTACTGCAACAGCTTTCTTACTCAAGAGTACATGCCAAAGGCCCTTCACAATCTGCCCCTCTCTTACCTCTCCGATTCACCTCCTACCACTCTTCCCCTCACTCTCTGGGCTCCAGCAACATGGGAACCTAAGGGAACATGCCAAGCTCATCCCCACCTCCCAGCCTTTGCCCTTGCTGTTCCCTCTATCTAGAACTCTCTTCCCCCCTGATATGCACATGCCTGACTCCTTTTTATTTGCGTCTCTGCTCCTTCAGTACCTCTCTGGGGATTTCCCTGTACGACCTTGGCTAAAGTAACTCCCCAGTTCCGAACCTTTTTCGTTATTTCCCCATGACATCTACCAGTGTCTGAAGCATCTCATTTACTGAGCTGTTTGTCTCCCCGACGAGTATGTCCGCTCATCCAGGGTGGGGACTTGCACAAAAGTGCACTCTCAACACATACGTTGACTGATGTCAGAGGTTCCTTTTCAGACAGCAACACCCTCCCTCATTTCTCAAGGCCCCACTCAACTATTAAGGCCCCTCCTCCAGCCCTATAGCCCCTCCTCTCTACCCACAATCTCCACCCATCCATTCCAGAGGCCTCTACCTTTTCATTTGCAGTCCTCACGCCCCATGCCCTGCCCTCGCATTCCCAGGTCCAGCCTCTCCCCCACCCTCCACTCACGCCACCATCACTCTGCCCTCAAGCCTCGCCCCTCACGTAACACCCCAATTCTCAGGTCCCGCCCTCCAGCCTAGGACAGCCACCGCCTTCCCTTCCCCCGGGAGCTCGGGGCGGGCTGGACGACGGGCCGCCAGCCTCACCTTGACTCGGACCCGCACCACCTCTCGCTCTTCCTCCTCAGCTGCCGCTTGGGCTCCCCCACCAGGCGGGGGCGCTCCGGAGCCGGCCAAGTCCGAGGATCCAGAGGCCGTCGCCATCCCTCCACCACCCGCCTCCGGGTGACAGCTGACCGTTGCCCCCTACCCTTGCGCACACCCCAGAATGCGGGCGCCTGCGGCCCCACCTTGCGCCCGGGCGCAGGCGCAGAGGGCGCCACGGGACCCTACCCCCCCCACCACCCGGCACAGGGTGGAGGTCGCCTCTGCGCACGCGCACAGTGTGCTGTTGCCAGGAGCCCCGCCCCCCAAAGCCGGGCATTTTGCCTCACTTTAGCCAGTGTGCAGGCGCCTATTGAGGGCCCGCCCCGCCCTTGTCCTTGGTTTGGTTGTTTGGGCAGTTTGCTTCCGGGTTCACCTAGGTGCGTGTTAAAGTGACGACCTATTCAGGCGAGAAAAGTGGGCGGGGAAAGGAAGCTGCTGCGCGACGACGTCAAGCCTCCACATCCCGCCCCAAGTCGCCTCGCGTCTCTGCTTAGAGATGATGTCATCTATTTCAAACGCCTGTGATCCTCACTTCAAATGAATCCGCTGAACGGAAGAATAATCCTTTTTCCAGAATCTTTTAAAAAATGGTTTACACGTTGTGAAAATTTATGGAGCTGTACATTTATGATTTTTGCAGTTTCTGTCCGCATGTTATACTTCAATAAGTAATTTACCCAAAAAAGCCATTTGTATGCTCTCTGGAGGTCCTAGCTTTTTAAAGTTTGCCTTTGTTTTTATTGAATCCTTACAACACGTTGAGATCGGTCCTGTTATTAAATGGTGTGTGTCCACCAAATATCAGCTGAATACTGGACATAGCTTAGACTCCTTTGAGAAACTTTATGTACCACAAAATGCAAAAAGGCATTCTCCCCACTTTACTGTATAACATCTATATGGTTTGGACAAAATACAGGCTGCCCTTACAAATGTAATTTCTCACAAAGGAGTCCTGTAAGTTACCTGGACTCCAGCTGTTGCTGCAGTATTGTATGGATGCTACCCTTAACGTTACCTTTTTAGAGAAGTCTGCAATTCTAAAACACTTCTGTGGCACTGCTGGATTTTCTGATGGAAACAGGGAGTTTGAAAATCTGTTTCTCATTAAAATTACCATAGGGTGGAATGAACAAAACATTAGCCTAGAGCTTGGAGTTTTATCCTGCAGGCCCTGGAGCACAGGTTTTAGATGGGGGTGATCAGATGTCCCTGTCTTGGTTGTGGAGAGAGCCCTGGAAGGAAAGATACTGGAAGCAAGGAATTCAAAAAGGAGGTCCTTGCCATAGTGCTGGGGAGAACTTTCTCTTTCATTTGTTCATTGTTCCATTCAACAAAGTGTATGCCAGATAGTCTAAATATATTAATTCCTTTAATCTGCATAAAAACCCTATGAGATAGGTACTATTATTATAAGCATTTTACAGATGAAAGCACTGAATGAAAGGGGAAAACATGCTCTAGACCAAAGCGATAGTAAATGGCACAGAGAGCAGACAGTGCAATGGACCGAAGGTGGGCCTGTGCCTGGTGTGTCTGAGGAAGAGCACAGAGGCCAGCATGCCTTAAGTAAACCATGAGGTAAGTGATGGATCTGAGGTGAGAAAGTGAAGCACGGCCTTAACAGTGAGGCATTTGTCAAAAGCTACACTGTAGGCTTGAGCGGAACCAGGATTTAAAATGAAGTCCTGCTCTGCACAGGTTACCTGGAGCCAGTCTCCAGGTATCTGCAGTTTTATTATTCATTCTTTGTCATCTCCTCAAAATTCCTCAAGTACCCATTTGTTTTATGACTGAAGGTCTATGAGGTTAATGACAGAGAGTGCAGGATGAGTGATGGGGGTCTGTAGGGTGAAGAGTATCTGTGGGTACATGATAGGTGGTCTGTGGGGTTGAGTGATAGGATATGGGGTAAGTGATGGAAGATCTGTGGGGTAATTGGGGATCTATAGGGTGAGTGATGGGGTATGTAAGGTAAGTGATGGATTCTGCAGGGTGAGTTATGGGGAGTTTATAGGGTGGTGATAGGGGATCTGTATGGTGAGTGATAAGAGGCCTATGGGGTAAATGATAGGGGGTTTGTGGGGAGAGTGAGAGGGTTTGTGTGACACATGATAGGGAGTCTATGAGGTGAGTCTTGGAGTTGTACGTGATGGGAGGTCTGTTGGGGCGAGTGATGGGGTCTGTGGTGTGAGTGACAGAGGTCTGTGAGGTGAATGATGGTCTGTCTATGGAGCAAATGAAAGGCTGTGGGGAGAGTGATGGGTATCTTAGTTGTTAATGATGGAGTATGTGGTGTGAGTGATGGGAGGGTGGTGGAGTGAGTTTTGTGGGGTCTCTGGTGTGAGTGATGGGATGGTTAGGGTAGTGATGGGGGTCTTTGGAGTAATGAGGGGTCTGTGGAGTTAGTGATGGGGTAGTTGTGGGGTACCTGATCAGGAGACAAGAGGTTGAGTAAACTGAAGAACTTGGATTTGGAAAATTCTCAGCCTGTCCATATTGCAAAGAGAGAGGTGTGTTCTGGAGAGAACGCCAAGGGCGTGGGTGGATGATCACGCCTTAAAAGAGCTGACAGGTGTGATTCATGGATCTAATCAGCCATCAGAGGAACTGTGGGGTCAGTGATGGGGATTTGTGAGGTCATAGATTCGAGGTCTACATGATGATGATGGCAGTCTATGGCTGAGAGAATGGTGGTCTGTGGAATGAGTGCTGGAGGGGTCTATGGGGTCAGTCATGGGGCATCTCTGGGGTTAGTCATTAAAGATCTCTCAGCATAGGGTCAAGATCTTTATTTCCTGATTTAAAAAAACTGTCCCCATCACAGACTTCCAAGGTTCTCTTGTACCTTTGTCCCAACAGCTCCTGACAGTAGCTCCACACAGCTCCTTTCTTCCCCCTGTTCACCCATCAGCCTGAGTTTGACAGATCAATTTGATTTGTCCTTCCAACCTGTGAGAGCAAGGATTGGAATCTTCTGGCAGGTGGAGAGTTCCTCAATAGCCAGTGTTCAAGCCCAGTTCATCACTCATTAGTTCTGCTTGCTCTTGGCTTTTGTGGCTTTGGTGTCCAGCATGCTCTGGGCACGAGCAAGTTGCTTTATAGAATCAAGCACGAGGATTCCGGGCAGCACCAGCCACAGGGCGTTCAAGAAGACAAAGTAAAACCAGAAGTAGAGAGGGTGGCCCAGCTCCCCATGCTGGAATCCCTCACGGTGCTCTGTCAGGAAATATAGCACATCCCCGTATATCTGACCTGTGAGAGATAGAAGGGGAAGAAGGAAAGCCTGTAAGGAGGGGGAACAATTCCAAGCCATTTTCCAAGTCATCAGAGCTCAGGATTCCCAAATTCAGAGACCTAAGTGTTCTGCAATCATATGGCTGAGGATTTCAGAAAACAGAAGTGAGATTTCCAGAAATCAGAAGCTAAGACTTTCTGAACTCAGGAGAGTTCATATCTCTAGAGTTTAAGGAAGCTCAAAATCCTTTCATTCAAGACATCTCAGGATTCCAGGACTAGAGAGAACTCACATTTCCAGAAAGTTAACAAAGTAAGAACATAAGAGGACTGAATCTCAGATGAAGGAAACTCAGAATCTTGCTCCTGGAGGATCCGGGGGCCTCCCACCATCATGGGTCACCTCATGTAACCGTAACCTTCATGGGAGACTTTGTGATGGAGTGGGAGGAGAAATGAACCCTCCTCGCTTGAGAATGCAGGCCAAGAGGGGCATGGCTGTTCCAGAACCTCAGGGACTTTGTCATTCAGTCTGACTCAGCCCTGGATGGGCACATTGAGAGGTCCCACCTGCAGGGATGCCCCCATGTCTGTGGATCCCCCATCAAGCCCTCAAGCACCCAGTGTGGGCCCTCTCCTCACCCACAGAGACCACAAGCTGTAGGACAAAGCGGAGGGGCTGCTGGCGGAGAAAGGCGATCACCACCCATAGGCTGAGTGGTCCCCACAAGCAAGCTGTGATGGTCTCCATGCATATCATGAAGCTGTCATTCCTGCAAGAGAAAGGATTGGGGGGCACTGGCATCACTGTGCTCTCCCCACAAGGCACCCCATTAGTGGTCCCTGACTCACCACCCCTCCAAAACACAGGTCTCCCTTGACAGAGGCAAACACTTACAGGATGTATCGGCTGTCTCCCTTGGCATACTCTTTCCCTGAAGAAGACGAGAGACATACATGAAGAATATCATCAGGAAAAGGAACTCAGACTAACTTCCCCATGCCTCAGTTTCCTCATCTGTGAAATGGGGTAGTTGTTTGGACTCTAGGGTTAATATATGTATACAAGATAATGTGTGCAAACCTGGCACAGAACAATAAGTGTTGCTGTGATTGTCTGGTATTCAATAAATGTTTGTGGAGTAAAATGAGGCAAGTGTAAATGATGGAGTGAGGGACGTAGCCAATGAGTGAGTGTGGAGTTAGCGAGCGAGTGAGTGTGGAGACAGCGAGCGAGCGAGCGAGCGAGCGAGCGAGAGAGAGAGAGAGAGAGAAGGTGAACAGATGAGTAAATGAAAGAGTGAGCAGAGAATCAAGAAAAAGACAGATCACCCAATGTAAAAATAGGAGACTGGAATAGGCTTTTCACAAAAGAGGATTTCCAAATGGTCAGTAAACACATGAAAGCTACTCAAACTTTTGTTAGTCATTAAGGGAAAGCAAATTAAAACCATAATGAGATATCACTCACATCCACTGGAAGGACTAAAATTTAAGAAACACCTGACCATACCAAGTGTCAGTGAGGATGTGGGAAACTAGAACTCTCATATACTGCCGGTGGGAATATAAAATGGCGCAGCCATTTAAAAATTTTTTTGGTGCAGCCATTCTTGAAAAGTTTGGCAGTTTTTCATAAAGGTAAACACACATCTACCATGTGACCCAGCCATTCCACTCCTCCATATTTACCCTAGAGAAATGAAAGCAGATCTCCACACGGAGATCTTGCAGAAGAATGTTCTACCAGATTTATTCTTGAGGCCAAAAAGGAGTATTGTTTGTAACAGCAAAATATTGGTGGAAAATGCTATCAATACTGGAAAAGTCAAATAGTTCTGTAAGCGTCCTCATTTAAAAAAAGCAAAGTTCAGAAGTGTATATAGCATGTTACCATTTACACAAAAGAAAAAATAAAAATGATGATAAGTAATATGGCATCTACTATCTGCCAAACACTGTTCTAAGTGTCTTACATATATTTGGATATGACTTATTATCCCTCTTTTATAATTGAGCAAACTGAGGCTTATGTGTGTTAATTTATGTGTAAAACCCTGAAAAGAAACATATGCAATTATTTGGGGAAACTTGGTGGATAGAACGCAGATTTTCACTGCATACCTCTTTAAATTGTTTAGTTTTGGATCCATGTGAATATATATGCAACAAAAAGTTAAATAAATTTAAAAATTTTATTTAAAATGAATGGAAAAGAGTTGGTGGGTGGGTAAACATCTAAGCCAATCCCTGCCCAGGAAATTCCCTTCCACAGCACACTGAAGAATTCAGGACTCACAGAGTTGAGACAAGATGGCTTGGTCTCCGAGAAGGTCCTCGTGGTAGAGGCTGAACCAGCCCTCGATCACCAAGTGAATGAACCCACACACTGCAAACCAGCACAGGGACAGTCTCCGCCAAGTCCCCAGTGGGATGACCGCAGCATGACCTGACAACAGCCATGTGGTCACAACTAAGACCCCAGAGATGGAGAAGAGGCCAGCCAGGAGATGCCAGGTGGGGCAGTCATTAGGCACAAAGTTGTCCAGCCTCAGGTGCCGAGGCCAGTATGGGTGCACGGGGCTGGCATTGGTGGTCATGTCTTTGTAGGCTGATGGAGGTGTGTGGATATGTAGAAAGGAGAATAAAAGGAAAGGAAAAACCTGAACAAATAGAGAGCACAGAATGAGATCATAAAATCAAATCCAAATAGTTTATTATGACAAGAAATGTAAATGGACTCAATTAACCAATCAATACAGACATGATTAAAATAATCTAATTATTTACTGTTTTAAAAAACATGACTATAAGGCCACAGAAATACTGAAAGCTTGTTCCAGCCCTCCGGGAGCCATAGGATGCGGTAGACACAGGAACTAGAACAGGTCCCAGCCCTCATTGGTCAGTTTGCTGGGGAAGATAGGAACCAGGCCCAGTCTCTGCCCTCATTGGTCACAGTCTGGTGGGCAGACACAAGAATCATACTAGGTCCCAGCCCTCATTGGTCACGCTTTGGTGGGGGAGCCACCTGATCCCCGCCCTCAGGGGTCACAGTCGGCTGGGGGAGACACAACGACCAGGTAAGGTCCCATTTGCAGGGGTCACTGTCTTGCATCATGCAACGGAAAGCTATTACCCTCCCCGTAGTCCTGGAAACTGCAGGACAGAAGAGAGAAGACTAATTAGAACGACGACCCTCAGGTTCAGGTGTGGGATCGCCCGACTCCTCCCGAAATTGCGCAGCCTGTGGCTAACCTGCAACAAAGAGGAGCCTTGCGCGGGGCTCTAAAGAGAAAAAGGAGGGTCAAATACAGAGACCACCAATCAGAACTAGAACCCGCTAGTTCAGCTGCCCAATGAGAAGGCGGATCTTCTGTCGTCCGGACGACCGCGCGGTAGTCGGGGGTCCTGCGCAGGCGCGTGGGGGTGGCGGGGGGGGGGGGGGGGGGGGCGGGGGGGGGGGGAAGGGTAGGGTCTCGCGCAGGCGCGCCGAGGGCTGGCCGTTTTGCAATTGAGAACTAAGGGATGGAGTGGCAGGCCAGGCGGAGGGAACTCACCCAGCAGCGCGGCTGCAGCGGCCTCTCCCACCGGCTCCGGGGTCTCTCTAGGATCGCTCGCTGGCTCCGAAATATCCCTAGTTCAAACCCAACCCCTCACAGGTTCCGCCTTACGGAACTGGCCAATGGAGGGGCTGGGAAGGAGGCCAGTGCCGCTCCCAACCAATAGTAATTCTCTGTGCCGCCGACCCCGCCCTCACGCGTTGGTACCATTTTCGCTGTTGGTTGAGACCCAGTCAGGCGTGGAAGAGGCTGGGAGGGCCGAGGTTGGTGGGCGTTTTCGGCGGAAGCCAACCTGCAGCGAGTCGCGGCTTCAGTTTCCTATCCCCTTATAAATCACATCGGAAATCGGGTGTTTCTGTGCTGTTGCATCAGCATTGCATTGTGTCTTCTCACCTTTGCCCTCATTTGCAAAGGCAGAGCAACGAAATCTTTTCCCAGACCAACCTTCAATCCTAATCCCCGAATGGGCAAGGAAACTGTTAATACAACAGGCAGATCAATCCTACACGCTGCCTCTGCCTCCCCCTCAGGCCATCTTCACCTCTCCTGACTTCAAGTCAGAAGAACCAATCAAAACCCAGGCCCTTCAGCCTTGTTGGCCAATTGGCATGGAGACCCTCAATCTCCCCCTGCCAACTCTAAAGAACCAATCAGGACTCCATAACTCTAACCCAGTGGGCACCCAGACTAAGTCAGTATCCAGATCCAACCCAGGCCTCCTATCCAATTAGAACCCACAGCCCTCAGTCCTAAGGACCAATAAGCATCAGCTCTTCATCAGTCTTTCCCTCCTCTGTCCCAGTCAGGGCAACCAAACCGAATGGGGATCCCTCAGTTTTTCTAGCCAATTAGTATCAGGCCTCCCCTACATCCAAGTATCCAATCTGTCCTGGCCCCACTCAAATCAAGCAGTGCTATCCTCAGGCTCATCATCCAATCATGAATGATAATAAACCATGAACCAATCACAACCTCCCTCTTCACGGTTTCTAGCTTCCAAACCTTTATCCATGCTGTGCCCCCTTCCTCACTCACTTCTATTCCCCACTGAGCAGTGAAGAGCGAGCCTTTTGTATACTTCCTACTTTTATTTGATAATAACAAACTGTATATAAAAAGGGTCAAGGAAGGCGGGGAGGCCCTGTATCTCCCCCTCTCTGCTTCCCCAAGTATCCCCCGCCCCTAGGCCCCAGCAGGGACCACTCCCTTCCCGCCTTGTGGTGGGGTGGGGATTGACAGGCATGGAAATGGGGTGTGTGTGTGTGTGTGTGTGTGTGTGTGTGTGTGTGTATGGGTGTTGGGGGGGTAAAGGATGGAGAGAGGGTCAAGAATTAGAGAGAGGGCCTTCCCTCATCCCCCATCAGAGCTGGCACCCTGAGGAGGGGTCTTGAGAGAGTTGTGAGGGTCCACAGATGTGCCTCAGCCTATGAGACGGTAGAAGATCCAGCATCCAAAAGTGACCCAGTGACTGGCCCAGCTGAGCTCTGACCATTTGTGGACAGTGTATGCCATGCCGTAGCCCTGTGGGAGAGAAAGCGGTGATGGTCGGTCCCACTCAGCAAGAACAAAGAAGGTCTCAGGAAAACCTATCCTTTGCTCAAGGACGTTTCTGTGACTCCACTGCAACCCTGAGTGAGGCCCCAGAGAAGAGATTGGGTACATATGAAAGGTAGGCATATTTAGTTTTCTTCTTTTGTATTTTCTTCTCTTTCAAAAATTTAAAAAAACAAGACAAGGCAATCCCATTCTCTGACCTGTACTCTCCCGTATATATAAAGAGCTCCTAGAAATTGATTTTTTAAAAAGACAAAAATTAGCAAAGGAGGTGAGTAGGCCATTTTCAGTAAAGGGAAAAAAAAACCCAAATGGCTCTTAAATATACGACAAAATACTCAGCCTCACTAATCATCTTCCTCCACTCAAACTGGCAAACATATCCACGAGGTCTGAGAGGCACCCTGTTGTCGGGGCGTCAAGCACGATCACATACTGCTGGTGGGAGGGCAAAAAGGTAACTTCTCCATTGCTGTCAAGACTAGATCCTACAGCTCTGTCTGCACCTATGTGAATCCACGTGGATGTGAGGGTATTACTTGCTGCAGCACCACTTACCATAGGAAAAGAGTGGGAATCACCTGGGTGTCCACCAATAAGGGACAAACTACATTGTGTCACAATGGAAAAAATGAACGAGGACACTCTATGTCTTCGTGTGGAAGGTTTTCAGGAATTATGTGAAAAAAGCAACATGCAGCACAGTGTCATTCATGTGTTACCTTTAGGGTAAAAAGCAGGGGGGAGGGAATTAAAATATATTTTTATATCTGCTTATTATGATTCAATTTTAGAAGGATAGTTTAATAAAATGAATAAAAGTGGTTACCTGTAAGAGGGTGGGGGTAAGACGGCAGGAATAAGACTCTCCCCTGAATATCTTGAATACTGTTTGGTTTTTCAACCACGTGATATGCATTAACTTTTTTTTTTTTTTTTTTTTGGTCATGCCGCGTGGCTTGAGGGATCTTAGTTCCCCGACTAGGGATTGAACCCTGGCCCCCGCAGTGAAAGCGCCGAGTCCTAACCACTGGACAGCCAGGGAATTTCCTTAAATTTTTAATTGAAAATAAAACTTTATATTATTTTATATTTTGTCATTAAAAACAATTTTTAATTTTTTATTCAGGTTGAATGTGCAAAATCTGGGTTTTGCTTCTTTTTAAATAAAATTTTTGTTTTATTTTTATTAAAACTTTAAAAATAGTTAATGCAGGGTATTCCCTGGCCGTCCAGTGGTTAGGACTCGGCGCTTTCACTGTGGGGGCCAGGGTTCAATCCCTGGTCGGGGAACTAAGATCCCGAAAGCCGCCTGGAATGGCCAAAAAAAAGAAAAAGAAAAAAAATGAACTGAAAGAGAAGCTAAACCGGGATCCGCTAGTGCCATATGAATAAACATTATTTTGAAATTGTTTTTCATTTAAAAAGGAGTAAAACCTGGAACGTGCACACTCCACCTGCATAAAACTAGTATATACATTTTAACATACACTTTTTTTTTTTGCAATACGCGGGCCTGTCACTGTTGTGGCCTCTCCTATTGCGGAGCACAGGCTCCGGACGCGCAGGCTCAGCAGCCATGGCTCATGGGCCCAGCCGCTCCGCGGCATGTGGGATCTTCCCGGACCGGGGCACGAACCCGTGTCCCCTGCATCGGCAGGCGGACTCTCAATCACTGCACCACCAGGGAAGCCCAACATACACTTTTTAAGTAGAATCCAGGATTTGCACAATCAATGTAAGTAAAACTATTTTTTTAACAAATTAAATAAAGAAATCTTGTGAATTCTACCTAAATAAAAATATGATGAAATAATTAACTTTTAAAAAAGTAAAACCTGGATTTTGCACTCCATCTCTAGAAAATAAATTTTATAAGTAAAATAAATGTATTTTGCACACTTCACCCAAGTAAAAGACCCAACAGTATGAATCAACCAGAGGGACAAGGGGACAGAAGGACGGTAGAGCAGTGGCTACACAAGCTGGAGACAGATGACACAAGGTTCCCATGCCTTGGCCTCCCCACCTTTGTCCTCATGGTTCCCATGAATAGGTAGCATATCCCTGGGTAACCCTGAGCCCAGGGCCCCACCTCACCTGCTCCTCTGTGGTGTCGTCCACATCAACATCGAACAGGGAGCCCAGGTAGGCCAGGTGGAAGATGGCCAGGGCCCCAAAGAACAGGTTTAGGGCTCGCACCCCCAGGCCCTGTGGGGGACAGATGGATATGCTTGGCAGCTGGACCTAATCACCACCCCCCAGCCCCACTTGGGCAGGGGCACACAGGGAAATGCACAAGGCACAGGAATAAGGATGTCCAGGGCACCCACCCCCAGGGTAGGAAAGAGATGGTTCTGATCCTCCTATGGGAGCTCAAGGGGTATCCAAGGATGAGGGTACTGTTAGCATGAGAGCGTCCAGGTTGGGGGAGATGTGAGTATTCAGGCAGAGGAGGAAAAATGGTGGGTAGGGCTTTGAGTTGGGGGTTTATGGTAATAAACATTGGTTGTCGGGTGGGAGGAAAATCTGAAATTCTCCATACTTCTTGTTGCAAAAAGAATGAGAAAAAAAAAAAGACTCAAACGAAAGCAAATCCCCACTGTGACCTACAGGGCCCACCTCTCCCTGTCTCACTCACTCTGCTCAAGCCATACCGGCCTCCTCGCTGTTCCTCAAATATTCCAGGCCCTCTCCCATCTCAGGGCCTTTACACTGGTTGTTGCCTTTGCCTGGAATGCTTCCCTCCCTCACCTCCTTCAGTTAAAGAACTCAAAAGTCACCTCTCCATTTAAACTTGAAACCACTCAGCCCCTGATACTTCCCTTTCTCTTTCTCTTATGTATTTTCTCCTTGGCACTAATCACAGTCTAACAAACTATTATACTTTACTTATTTTTTATTTACTGTCTTCCCTGTTAAAATGTTTGTCCCAGAGGGCTGGGACTTTGGTCTGTTTTGTTCACCACTGTGTCTCCAGCACCTTGAACAATGCCTGATACCAGCAGGTGCTCAACAGATGTTCACTGGGGAAAATAAACGCTAGGTGGGTATATAGCGGTTGCTTGATAAATGTTCGTTAGATAAATGGATGCCAGTGAATAGAGATGAGGTTATGGGGGTGGATCGGGCACTGGAAGAGGAAGCTGGGCACCCTGAGACAGATATAAGATGGAGACAGAAGTAATTTTTGAGGGAGAGAGTTGGACAAAAGGCTGCCTAGGCTGAACCCTCACCAAGCGATGCTGGTGTGAACAGTCTGCTGGGCACCGTTTCGACAAGATGCAGGCACTGAGGATCCGAGCCAGGCGCTTTCGGAGGACTAGGGCAGATGCGGGGTTGGGGGGGCAGAGGTAAGGGCGTCAGGTTAGCCTCAGGGGACGGTGGTTCCAGCCCGCCACCAACCTTCCATCCCATCTACTGGGCTGGGTTCCGCCCTCACCGTGCTCCACATAAGTGATAAACGCCAGGGACAGCAGCACCGCAGCCAGGTGGAAGCTGAAGCCCTGGGGTGGGGGTGGGGGGCAATGAGGTGAGTGAGGAGGAGGCCCTACCACCCCCATCCAGCTACCACCCTGGTCCCGCTCCGCCCTGCTCACGTGCAGGAGGGCGCTGGCTGCATAGGTGACCAGCACAGCTGAGAAGGTCCCCAGGCGGAGAGCATTCTTGAAAACATCTGCAGGGGGGAGATGTGGGGCAAGTGTCTCCTGAGATTCCCCCCTGCCCTTCCTGGAGGGCCATAGGGCAGGGTGAGGATACCCACAACCTCTTGGGGCCCCCAGGATGAAGCCTCTTTATAATGGCCTCCAACTTCACATTGTCTAAAAGTTAGCTCCTGATCTTCCCTCCCAACCTGCTCCTCCTATATAGTCTTTCCCAAGTGCAGCCAGTGTCAACTACACCCTTCCAGTTCCTCAGGACAAAAGCCTCACTATCACCCTTGATCTGCCCCCCACCCCCAACGCCCATAACCAAACTCAGCAAATCCTGTCAGTTCTATCTTCAGAGTTTATCCAGAATCTGACCTCTCCTCCCCATTTCCACTCTGCCCTCCCCGACTCCCTGTCTGTCCTCACAGTAGCCAGAGGGTCCTGGTACAACCTAAGTCAGCCCATGGCCCTCCTCTGCTCAGAACCCTGCTCTGAGATCTCTCTCAGAGAAAAAGCCAAAGTCCTCCCCGTGGCCAGAGAGGCCCTACAGAACCAGGCCCTGTCACCTCTCCGAACTCACCTCCTGCCACTGGTCCCCTCGCTCACTCTGATCCCACCACACTGGTCTCCTCACTGTTTTTCAAATGTGCCAGGTATGCTCCTGCCTCAGGGCCTTTGCACTTGCTGTTCCTTCCATGTGTTAAATTCCTCCCCTACATGTTTGCATTGATTGCTCTCTCACCTTCTTCAGGTCTTTGCTCAAACGTTAGCTCTTCAGTGAGACTTGCTCTGGATGATGTATTTAAAATTGCATCCACCCCTACTCACACACTCCTAACACTCCCAGGTCATCTTTACCTGCTTTATTTATTTATTTTTTACCATAGCACTTATCACTACCTGAACTATTGTGTATTTTCTTTTTATTATACTGCTACCCCCACAAAAATGTCAACTCCACAAGGGCAGGAATTTGGGAGATTTTTTGGTCCCTACTATCTTCAGCTTGTTGTATGAATGTGTGAAAGGGGTGTGGGTTGAGGACTGCCAACTCTCTTGGAGTGGTGACTTGGTGACTCACAGTTATTTAGCCAATAAGACATGGGCAGGTTCCAGCTTGTGACAACTTCCACCATGGACCGGGGCAGCTCCACGTTCAGTGGCTTAGAGACCGTCAGGTCCCTATGGGCAAAAGAGACACGCAAACTCATTTGGGATTTCAACCCACCTGATGGCCACACTTTTGTTCTTGGCTGTTCCCTCCCCCAGGAACACCCCCCTCCTCCCTGCAGCTCCTCTAGGCAGCACCCTGTGGGAGATGGGGCTCCCCAGCCCTCCCCACCATTCCAGGTGATCCTTCTCCTCGGTGAAGCCAGCCCCTGCCAACGTGGCCGTGGCCTCGGACAGAAAGCCCACAAAATAGTTGCTGAAGTGGAAGGAGACAGCGCTCTCATAGGCTCGCAGCCACCTGCGGGAAAGGAGCCAGGGAGAGAGAGGCATCACGCCCAGGCCCCAGCATGACACCCCACCATGTGCCAGCATCCCTGGCCCCTCTGTAGACTCACCTTACCATGGTGCCCCTAGGGGTCAGGAAGGCAGCAGAGAAGAAAGGAAAGAGAGTCAGAGAGGCCCTGGAGGCTGGCCTGAGTTGTTCATCAACAAGACAGACAAATATGGTGGCAAAAGAGGTGCGCTGTGATAGTCCCACACATCTATCCATCCGTACACCATCAGTTAGTTTCAGGTAGCTCAAATGGATGTGTGAGCTGCCCTATAATATGACACGGTCCCGCAGCTTCACGTGGCCAGACATCCAGACCCAGGGACTGTTAGAGGCTGACCTCACAGCCACATGGCCAGACACACATACTATCAGACTCCAAGCTCTCTGACCTGATTCGGTGACCATAAGATACCCGGAAGTCCTTTAGTTAGGCACAGAGACCATCAAGCACCCTGTTATTCATGCACACACAATTCTGCACTCAGATAGCCATCCTGTCAGTTGTACAGTCAGACACGGTCAAAGACAGACAGCGTCTTACACTGGAAAAAGCATAGGATTCAGGCCTGGGATTAGTGCCTGGCTGCTTAGTTGGGTGACACTGGGCAAGTCATTCCACCCTTCAGAGCCTCATTCAGCATCAGACACAATCAGTGGCCAATGAGTAGGGGAGAAGGTCATACAGTCAAATAGCTGGATGAAATCCTAGTCACACCCGGGGTGGATGGTCGGTTCTGCCCCTCAGCTAGACAATACCAAGGAGCCAGAGAAGGCAGACCCACAGGCAGAATCCATCACAGATATGCGCACAACACGCGACAGTCAGACCCATTCCCAGCCAGGGTTACAGACAAGCCAGATTTATCCTATCCAGTGACAGCCACATACTCCCATCATGGACAACCGCCCAGCCAGACAGCCAGAACTCCAGTCCCACACAGGAGTCCCTGGCTGATAGGTAAACAACCTATACAAACCCCTAGCTAGAGTCACAGACAGGTCAGTGTCACCAACCAACACATACTTGTGGCACTGCAGTCACATAACTTGCTTCTGATGGTGAAATAGCAGAACAGACGGACAGCCAGGCACAGTATGTGACGGAGTATCCATTGTACACGGAGTCATAGGGCCAATCTTGGTCAGACCACAGCCACAGACACTCAGTCTCTGTCTAGTCACTGGGTGGATGGTCAGACAGTCTCAGACTCACAGAACCAATCAGTCACAGACTGTGCACCCACCCCCATTCAGCCCCACTCGCCCTCAGCACCTGCCCTCATTTACCTGGCTTTGCGTTTCTTGCTGTAGTAACAGAAGACAGACAGAAGCATTAAGAGACAACTCAGAGCTGGGGAGACCCCAGGTCCCTCCCCAACCCCCTCACTGCTGGGCAGAGGCCTCGAAGGCTGTGCTCACTTGCGAAGGAGGCGGTCACCATCAAGGGGGATGAAGTACGGGAAGAGGTAGGGGCCCACACAGGTGGACAGCACAAGGCACAGCAGGGCCAGCGCCAGACTCCGGGCCACCTTCTGCAGCCATCGGCGGCTCTGTGGGGATCAAGGCTCCATGAACATTGCCCCATGGTGGCTTCCCATGGTCCCTGCCCACCTGTCCACCCAGGACCTCACCAGCGGGCGGCCTTGGACGGCCTGTAGGTAGCTGTGGAAGGATATCCAGGGCCCAAAGACGATGGTGCCCACGAAGTAGAGGTAGCCCATGAACTCCACGGGCGAGGGCACTGCACCCACCTCACCCCGGTCCAGGTCGAAGCCCAGAGACACCGCCTTCATGGCCACAATCATCTGGGCCCCTAGGTGTGGTGCCCATGGTCAAGTGGATGAGCAGAGAGCAGGTCATCATGGGGTATGGGGAACACCAGGTGAGAGGTGGTAAGAAAGAAGAGCAAGTGTGGAGAGGTGGGCATGGGGCCAGACAGGCAGCTGAGCAGGTAGGCCCAGGACTGGCAGATGTCTTGACTCAAGAGAGTCAGGCATGGACATGAGATGGGACAGACAGATGGGGAAGAGACATGGTAGAGAGAAACACAGATGTAAGGGGAATCTAAGGGCTGCGTGTCCAGTGGGCTAGGCAGATGAGGGAGAAAAGCGGGGAAGGAAAGACAGGGTGGGGGGAGTTAGGAGATGTGGAGTGGGGCTGGAGGGCTGGGGCAGGGGAGAGGGCCAGGGCTGCCTACCTCTCATCTTGTGCCATGTCACGGTGTCCACCATGTGCATCTCACTGAGGAAAAAGGTGGTGGTCTTGGCCCTATGACTCCTCTGGCCTCAGATACCACAAAGGGGGGAAACCAAGGTGCAGAGAGGGTATACCCTTCCCTGCCCTGCACAACCTCATGGAGGAATAGTTCTCCAGGGCTCCCTCCTCCAGGGGGAGCTCAAGTCCAGCCTGTTCTGTGTAGCCTTCGGAAAGAACAAGTCTCCCAGATTTCCATCCCCTCCAGAAACACCCCACGTCCTCCCTGTCCTGGACAGCCTCAGGAGGGGCGGCCTGGGGATCCCCCCGCCCTTATGCTGACAGCGTGGGGATGAGGACATACACCCATACCCCATGAGTAGGTAGATGAGGATGGTGACGGAGAGGAAGACGCCGCGATGGGAGGAATGTCGGCAGAGGAACAGCACGAGGTAGCACAGGAGGCTGAGCAGTACGACCCAAACCATGTGCAGCTGGAAGAAGTGGTAGAGGCTGAAGAACCCGCCTGCCACGGTGCTTGCATGCTTCAGGTAGGATGGCAACCCTTTGGGTGAGAGAAAGAGAGAACAAGAAAGGGAATTAGAGCAGGGCTGGTAGAAGGGCAGCCTGGGCAGAGGACGTAGCTCAGGCAAAGGCTTAGAGGTTGGAACGTGGTGGGATTGCAGGGGGCCCAAAGCAGGTGTTGGGGAGCTGGGGAGGTGGCAGGGCTTGGGTTTAAAGAAAAGAGACATCTATAAAGGTCACTTTGGGAACCCTGGAGGAAATTTGAATAACTTATATTGAATAATATTATGGCATCAAGATTAAATTTCCTGAGGGGTGATGGTCAAGGCTATGGCTGTGGGGGGAAGATGTCTTTGTTCTTGGGGGACACACACAAGAGGATTTGGGATGAAGTGTCAGCAGGTTATTCAAGTGATTCAGGAAGATGATAGATAGATAGATAGATAGATAGATAGGCAGATGGACGGATGGATAGGTAGGTAGATAGATAGGTAGAGAGAGCAAGCTAATGTGGCAAGATGTTGACAGTTGGAGAATCGGGTGATGCATATATGGGTGTTCATGGTACTATTCTTTCAACTTAGCTTTTCAGTAACTTTGAAACTTTTCAAAATGATAAACCCGGGGAAAAAATAAAACATCCATTTAAAATAAAAGAACAAGAAAAAAGAAAGTGTAGAACTTCTGAATCTCAGATTTCCAAAATTCTCAGCATCCCATGGGGATCTCGGGTACTTGGGATCTTGTTGTTTGGATATAGGCTTGCCACGATTTGTGGAAACATTCCAGAACCCTAGAATCCAGAGATTTTATCATGCCGTGATTCCAGAAATCCAGAATGCCAGCATTTTGGAAGCCTGGAATGTGAGAATTTCAACTTGTCAGAATCCCCAAACCCCATAACACGGCACTTTGGGATACATGGTACTTTCCATAACCCTGTGACATCAGCATTTCAGAATCTTATAACCTTGGGATGTAGGCATTTCAGGATCCCAAGATTCAAGAACCTCAGCTTTCAACAGTCCCAGAACCCAGGGATACGGAAAGGTATGGCTTGGCATGGCAGGATGTGGCTTGGTGTGGTGTAGCATGGGGTGGCTGGGTTAGTGGGACGTGGTGTGGTAGAATGGCGCTTAGCCTGGTGGGCTGTGGTAGGCTGGACGTGTACGAGCCTGGCTTGGCTTGGCAAGATGTGGCAGGATAAAGTGGGGCTTGGTACGGATGAACGTGGCAGGTGTGATTTGGCCTGGCGTGGTGGCCCATGGTGTGGCAGGCACTTACCAAGCCTCCACAGGAGGCGGCAGGCGAGGCAGATGGCAAGGAGCAGCCAGATCTGGTCAAGGCCCTGCTGGGCAGTAGGCAGGAGACAGCCCTGCAGCAGCTGCTGGAAAAATTCCTGGCGGCTGAAGGTGGCCATTGTGGACCCCCACGGATGGATGGACTGATGGATAGACCTGCCAAAGGGGGGACATAGAAGGAGCTTAGTTGGGATGTCCACGGGGCAGACGATGCTCAAGAGATGGACTTGAGCGCTCAGATTTCAGTCTGGGGCTGTCCAACCCTTGTAGAGACAGGGTACTGGGGGGCTGAGGGAGGGTGTGAGTGTCAGGTACATCAGATTGAGCTGCCAGCTGTGTGTGTGGGGGGGTGTTCTGGGTGCACACACACAGCCCATGACCTGCGGTGAATGAAGGACCTGTGTTTCTTGTATGCTGGGAAGAGTCCGGGTCCGACAGTGATTGAATGGTGTACTTTGTAGGCCTGTATATCAAATTGGGGGGCTCCCTGGTTTCCGAGGTAGAGTCACTCAGTGTGGACGGCAGAGAGGGAGACCCTGTGACACTTGGGGGCCGCGTGCATCTCTCCTTGAACGGATGTGGGGGGTGTCCTGTATCCCCCGCGCGCCCCATCCCACCCCCACCCGGCCTCTCCCGGCCGCCAACAAAGCCCTGCCCAGGCCCGGGGGCTGCAGGGAGGTGGAGGTGGTGGAAAGGGACACAGCAGAAGGGAGAGTTGGAAAGGTGATGGAGAGGGGGCCCTAGCACACGCGCTGCAGACCCGCAAGGGGAGGCCGGCTCAGGATGCGAGCGGGAGAGCCGCACGTGCACTACCGGCGACCTACCTGGCAGTAAGAAAGCTGCGGTCCAGGGGGCCGGGGACGTACAGCCGCCGCCACCGTCGCCGCCTCCTCCGGGCAGCCTCCCCCGCAGGCCGCAAGGCCGGGACCAGCTGCGGCTCCCAGGGCGGCGCGGAGAGCGGGCCCTTTAAATCCCGGGGAGGCCCGGCCGGCCCGCTCGGCCAATAAGAGGACAGGAGCGGGGCGGGGACGGAGGAGGAGGGGAGCGGGAGGATTGAGGGAAGGAGGAGCGGGAGGTTGAGAGGAGCCGGGCGCGGGAGGACGTCGGCTTGTGGAACGTTGGATCCCGCACCTTTCCGACCTCTTGGTGTGCCAGTCCCTGAAGGGTCGCGTCGGGAGGTCTTCTGGCCGTCCAAGAACAAACTGTCCAAACGCCAAATTCCTAATCCTTGGAAGCCGAGATGGGAAAGATGGGGGAGGGAGGAGAGAAAGTCCGTTTCACCAGCCATCAGCCTCGCCCCCGAAACTGCCCACCCGCGCACGTCTTCGTGTCACTGTTGTGTCCCCTTTTCACAGATGGGAAAATAAACCGAGGTCTCTCCTTTCCCATCCTTTGAAGGAGCTATGGGAATTTCCAACCCTCTCCAGCACCAGGGACGGGCCAGAAACACCAGTACTGTCACCTAGGAGCAAGAATTAGGCGCCTGTGCTTTCCCCTAGGGACTCCTTCCGGAGGCTAGTACGGAGCACCGACTGGGAGCATTTATAAAGCACTTACTGCGTCCCCAACAATGGTTTGTATTGGGCCCTACCTGCACCAACTCTGAGGATTTATGCAGCACTTGCTGTCTGCCTACCCTACCCTGCAGTGTCTGGACACTCCGCTCTGTCCCTAGGCTGATGAAGGGCCTTTTTCCAAAGGAGCATTTATTGGGCATGGACTGCATACTTACTTAGCTATCAGGTGGAAGGGAGAAGGAAGCCAAGGTCAAGCTGGACCCCACCCTGACCTGAGGAGCTAAGGAAAACAGGTTCTAATCAGATTAATGCCTGCCTGTATGGAGCCGGGCAAGCCATGCCCACTCCCTGGGCTTCAGTGTCCCCTTCTGTTAAACAAAAGAGTGGGATTAGCAGTTCTTTGCTTGGAAATACCAATGGCAATTGAAGAGAAATGCATGTCTCCTCTCTTTAAAAAAATGTTAACATGAAGTTAAATGGAGTTTTACCTCATAAATGAATATGCATATATTACAAATGAAAAATATTTAACAGTTGACCCTTGAACAACGCAGGTTTGAACTGCACAATCCACTGATAGGTGGATATTTTTCAATAGTAAATACTACGGTACTACACAGTCCTTGTTTGGTTGATTCCCGGGATGCAGAGGAACTGTGGGTATGGAGGGCCGGCTATGAATTATACACGGATTGAGACCCTCCCCAGTTGTTCAGTGGTCAACTGTAATGGATAATTACATAGGCCAGATGCACAAATATTAATTCCTTTCCTTAACAGCAGAATACAGGCCATACATTTTATGACTTAGACTTCATTCTAATTTTTTCCTCAGTTTTCAAACATACTCAAATCGAGTCAACAATGACCCACAGCACAAGCAAGAAATATTTCCTTTGGTTGCAAGACCTGGCATTTAAAACTGGAAGATCCTCACTATGTGTACCCTGAGCTTCACAGACTTGATTGTTTCCATCTAGTCTTTTGATGTGTGTGACAAAGAACTAGTCTCTAGATTCTAGGACATATAAAGGGCATCTACAAATCAATAAGAAAAGGACAAACAATACACTAGAAAATGGACAGTAGACATGAATAGGTAATCCACGGCAGAAGTCACCTGAAATGGCCAATACGTATAATATATGAAAAGATAACTCAATCTCTTTATCAGGGAAATGCAAAATTAAAACAACAGATATGATTTCATATCTACTAGGTGTGATGTTTCATATTTTTACCGCTGGAGCTTAGTAGAGAGTGGGCACTCAATAAATATCTGTCAGACTTTATAGCCTTTGTAGTCATTCTGGGTTATAGATTCTAGGACATTTTAAATGGTCTCCCTATAATTAAATATGAAAATTAAGACAAAGAGATCCCATTCTTTGCTTATTAGATTGACAAAAAAAATTGCCAAGCCTCAGAATAATGTTTTCTCTCTCTCATTTTGTCTCTCTTTTTCTCTCAGTATATCTCTATCTATCTATAATTTTTTCTAAAGTATTTGATCGTAGTTGCAGGTGTGATGCCCTTTCAACGAAATACTTCAGTATAAAATTTCTAAGAACAAGGATATTTTCTTACGTTCCTGCCAGCAGAGTATGAGGGTTCCAATTTCTCCACATCTTCACAAACACTTTGTTATCTGATTCTAGCCATCCTAGTGGGTGTGCCAATACTGTCCTTTTATAGGAAAAGGAAGTCCTAGGTCACGAGCTGCATTCCTTTATCAGGTCTTTTTGGTCTCTTTCAATCTGGAACAATGTCTCCATCTTCCATTAACTTTCGCGATCTTGATGTTTTCGAAGAGCACAGGTCAGTGCTTTGGAAGAATGTCCTTAAATTTGGGTTTATCTGATGTTTCCTCAAGATTAGATTTGGATTATGCATTTCGGGCAGGAATTCCACAGAAGTGACGCTGTGTTCTCCTCAGTGTATCCGGAAGCACAAAGCATTGGTTAATTCCAAATTGTTGGTATTAGCTTTGATCATTCGATTAAGGTGGTGTTTTCCAGGTTTCTCCACCGAAATGTACTCTTTCCCCTTTGTAATTCATAAGTATCTTGTAGGGACATACTTTGAGATTATGTATCTTTCCTATTTTTCGTCAAACTTCCACTCACCAGTTTAGCATCCATTGGTGATTCTTGCCTGAAGCAATTACTACTATGATGGTGGCCATATGATGATTTTCTTTTACATGGATAGCTGGGATTCTACTGTGAGAAAGAGCTTTCTCTTCTTCCCCATGTATTTATTTATTCATTTGTTTATTTGTGTCAGTGTGGGACTCATAATTTACAGGTTAAAATCAGTTACTATCATTTTAAAATTAATTTATTAATTAATTTATTTTTGGCTGCGTTGGGTCTTCGTTGCTGCACGTGGGCTTTCTCTAGTTGCGGCGAGCGGGGGCTAGTCTTCATTGTGTGGCTTCTCTTGTTGTGGAGCACGGGCTCTAGGTGCGGGGGCTTCAGTAGTTGTGGCGTGCGGGCTTAGTTGCTCCACGGCATGGGGGATCTTCCTGGACCAGGGCTCGAACCCATGTCCCCTGTATTGGCAGGTGGATTCTTAACCACTGCGCCACCAGGGAAGTCCCAGTTACTATCTTTATGTAGTTATAAAAGTAGCTTAATTGAGATATAATTTACATACCATAAAATTCACCCAAGTTAGTTGTACAAGGCAATGGTAGTTAGTGTATTTATAGGCTTGTGCAAAAATCACCACAATCTAATTTTAGGATATTTCAATCACCCCAAAAAGAAACCCTGTGACTGTTAGCATTCATTCCCTATCTGTCTCTGGCAGCCCTAGGCAACCACTAATCTCATTCTGGATTTGCTTATTCTGGACATTTCATATAAATGAAATCATACAATCACAAATCTTTTGTGTCTTGTTTCTTTCACTGAACATAATTTTTAAAACTGTGATAAAATACACATAACATAAAGTTTAACATCTTAACCATTTAAAAAATAATACATTTATTTATTTATTTTTGGCTGCATTGGGTCTTCGATGCTGCGCGCGGGCTTTCTCTAGTTGTGGCGAGCAGGGGCTACTGTTTGTTACGGTGCACGGGCTTCTCATTGCGGTGGCTTCTCTTGTTGTGGAGCATGGGCTCTAGGCGCACAGGCTTCAGTAGTTGTGGCATGTGGGCTCAGTAGTTGTGGCTCGTGGGCTCTAGAGCACAGGCTCAGCAGTTGTGGCGCACGGGCTTAGTTGCTCTTCAGCATGTGGAATCTTCCTGGACCAGGGCTCGAACCCATGTCCCCTGCGTTGACAGGCAGATTCTTAACCACTGCACCACCAGGGAAGTCCATCTTAACCATTTTTAAGTGTACAGTTCAGTGGCATTAAATACATTCACATTGTTGTGCAATCAACACCACCATCCATCTCCAGAACTTTTTTCATCTTTCCAAACTTAAACTCCATAGCTGTTAAACATCAAATCCCCTCACCTCGTCCCCCAACCCCTGGCAACCACCATTTTACTTTCTGTTTCTATGAATTTGGCTACTCTAAGTACCTCATGTAAATGGAAGCATACAGTATTCGCCCTTCTGTGACTGGCTTATTTCACTTAGCATAATGTCCTCAAGATTCATCCATATTGTAGCATGTGTCAGAATCTCCTTCTTTTTAAAGACTGGATAGTGTTCCATTATATGTATATGCCACATTTTGTTTATCCATTCATCCATTGGTGAACACTTGGGTTGCTTCCACCTTTTGGCTATTATGAATAATGCTACTATGAACACAGGTGTACAGATGCCTCTCTGAGAGCCTGCTTTCAATTCTTTTGGTTATATGTCCAGAAATGGAATTGCTGTATCATATGGTAATTCTATTCTTAGTTTTCTGAGGAACCACCATATTGTTTTCCGCAGTGACTGCAGCATTTTACATTCCAACCAACAGTGCACAAGAGTTCCAACAAGGTTATCCTAACCAGCCCTTGTTATTTTTTATTTTATTTATTTATTTATTTTTATAGTAGTCACCCTAATGGGTATGAGGTGTATCTCACTGTGTGTGTTTTTTTTAAAAATAAATTTATTTGTTTATTAGTTTTGGCTGCATTGGGTCTTTGCTGCACACAGGCTTTCTTTAATTGCGGCGAGCGCGGGCTACTCTTTGTTGCAGTGCATGGGCTTCTCGTTGCGGTGGCTTCTCTTGTTGCAGAGCACCGGCTCTAGGTGCAAGGGCTTCAGTAGTTGTGGCACGCGGGCTCAGTAGCTGTGGCTCACGGGCTTAGTTGCTCCGCGGCATGTGGGATCTTCCCGAACCAGGGCTCGAACCCGTGTCCCCTGCCTTGGCAGGCGGATTCTTAACCACTGCGCCACCGGGGAAGCCCCTCACTGTGGTTTTGACTTGTATTCCCCTAATGATTAGTGATGTTTATAATCTTTTCATGTGGTTATT